TTTTTTTTTTTTTTTTTTTTTTTTCTTTTTAAATTTGTTCGTATTTGTGATTCTTAAGACGACTTTAACGGTTACAAGGTAGGGTTTTATATTTCTGCTTTGGTGGATTAGCTGACGTCTTTAGTTTTGTTTTTCTGCTTTTTGACAAAAACTTGTTTGGTATATTTGTCTAAGTTGGTTTTTCAATCATATTTTGTAGAGGCAATGCTTTCCATTGTAGTTTTGATCTTGTTTTTGGGTACTGAACGAGAAGTCTTGTGCCTTTCCATGAGTAGGAATAGTATTAATGTATAATTTTTGTTGGCATAGAATTCCACAAGAATGTTCTAAGTGTTAATCCCTACTGAATGAGAAGTCTTGTGCCTTCATTTTTCGGTGGATGTTGAGAACACTTGTTAGCAAACTAATTTTGGTTATAAGAAAGAGAGAAGAGAGGGATGGAGTGGAAAGTTCCGTGCTTTAATAGCAAGTGATGCAGTGATAGCTAAATGCTTTAGTCAATTTATCAGTTTCACCACTCTCTACTTTTCTACAGGTATTTTTTTTCAATGTTTGAGGAAAGAGAATGATCATTTGTTCATCGGTCACTGCTCGGTTTTTTGAAGCTATTCAATGAGCTGAGAGAGTTAGACCATGGCAAGACAGCTGCCCCAGAATCATCTTGAGAATGGCATTCCAGGAACTACACCTAGTCATTGTGTGCAGGAAGAGCATCTGATCTCTGCACGCAAATGGTATTTCTCCAGACAGGAAATTGAAAATCATTCTCCATCCAGGAAGGATGGAGTTGATTTCAAGAAAGAGTCTCAACTGCGGAAGTCATATTGCTCGTTTCTTCAGGAGCTTGGCATGAAGCTGAAAGTGTAAGGCTTCAATAATTTCTATGAATGTGACAGTTTCTGCATTTCTTTAATACCTTTTTTTTTTTACTTGCTCAAAGAAAAAAAATTCGTTAACCCATTTTTGCAAGGCACTTCCCAAAAACTATCTTTAATTGTAGTTATCTTCATTCTTCAGTCACCACCTGTTTTGACACACACAAGTTCTATTTCTCGGTCCATTATTGTTGCTAGTCAATGGTTTCATAGTGTCATGGGGCATTTTGATTAAGTTTTGTTACAGAGTAGGAAGCCTAGGAAGAGAACAGCTGGAAATGTGGACATGCTTCTGTTTGAATTTGCACTGGAGTTGGTCTAATAAGCTTAGGAGGGTTTTTATTTCTAAAATATTATTTGAATTTTTATTTATTTAGTGTAAGACGACACCCCAACACATTGCAATTTTTCCAAGTTTTTCCATCTCTCCCCGTTATGTGTTTAATTTTTTGTCACAAAAATTAATGATAATAAACAAATAATAAAACAGTTTTAGATGAATACTACATACTGTTGATGACAGGCATAGTGTGGTCCATTGAACAAAAAGATCCCGTAGTAAGCACCATTTCTTTGTTGTTGATTTTATTGGAAAATTGAGCATATAAGGAATGAGTCACAAACTCATATGTGAGCAAGGATCTAGATCATAGGGGTACACATGCCTGGTGAGTAGGCTGGAACAGGAGCCCCATGCCTTTTCTGATGCTGAATGCTGAAATATGTTCTGTTAACACGTTTCTGATTTCTAGAACAGCATTTTATATTTCTGTTGTATACATCGTGCTTCTTGCTTATCTGCATGACAAAGTCTCTCCTTCCTCTCATCATTCTCCATTTTCTCCACCACCACCACCATCCGACTCTCAAGTATTTACAATTATTATAAGACAATTTCTTCAAATGTACTCTGTTCATATTTAAGTAGATTCGACTATTTCTTCTGCTGTATTCTTTTAGCTGAGAAATATTTCTTATAATGTGATTCTTCATATAACTTTCTAGCCATTTCCGTTCTCTTCACTTGCAGCCTCTAGAGTAATGGATCTGGTGTTCTGTTTTTTGATGACCCGTTTGTGTTGTTTAAATATTGATGATTTTAGTTTTATGTAATATTTTATCTTATAGCAATAATCAGGACTAGTTCCAATTTTTCACGTGGATGTGCTGATTTGTGATTTGTATACCTTTCAGGCCTCAAGTAACAATTGCAAGTGCCATGATGGTATGCCACCGGTTCTATATGTGTCAGTCCCATGCTAAAAGTGACTGGCAGGTAAGTTGATGGTTTAAGAATTGTTTTCTATCGTCCTATCCTATAGTAAGCCCATTGATGTTTGAAAAGTTACAATGCAACTGTCTCAAGTTTTGTTAAAAGAAAAAAAAAACTGAAGCATCATACCTAGAACATCTTGTTAGTAGTTTCATAAAAAGCCGTATAGTGTTTGATGATCTTGAATCTTTCCTCCTACAGTGCTCGTTTCTTTAATACCATTTCTCTTTTTTTTCAAAAACCACTCAAAGATTGTAGCTTTGACCATGATAATTTAGCCATCTTTTTCTACTAAATGCCACCAATCTCAAGAAAACATTATTTTTGCTGCCAAGTTGAAGACCCTTGTGAAATTTAATACTTGAAACACTGACCCAAAATTTTCTCCCATAAGTATAATGGGAGAACGGATGATTGTGCTTCAAACATAAACTGCAACAACTTGGGTACATAACTGATATGGCCATCTTTTTTGGAGTTTTATAGTTGAGTTTAAACCTTCAAAATGTATTAACCGTACCATTATATTGGCTTTTGTTGGAAAGTTAACTTTCCATACAGCATACATGAAATTATTGGGGACCAGTTATGAATGGCCTTTTGATGTGCAACCTTTGATCCATTCCTTGTACTCAAATGAGCTAATACAAGGAGCAAGGCAAAGAAAATTCAAGAGACTTTTACATTGTATCTTCAAAATCTAGGCACAAGGAAAGAATGAATTTTAAACCCCAATTTCTGAATATTTGCTAGGATCCTAGAAGAACCTCTAACCTTGTAATCCAGTAGCTATAGCGCTTATCACCTTCAAAAGTAGCTATAGCGCCTATCACCTTGAACTGAGAACTCTCCCAAAACCAGCTGTATCCAACACCCTCCTTTTCAGTAATTGAATTTCCCTCAGCCAGCTTAAAAAATCACAAAATTTACCCTCTTCTTCTCCCCCAGGTTTCTTTGGTAATTATGAGTTTTCCCCAGGTTTCTTTGGTAATTATCATTTTATTCATTCTTAGGAAAAAAAAACAACACGTGATGGAATCTAGTTATGCATTCCTAAAATTTCATCATCACGCTGTAAAGTTGTGAATACTATGTCTTTGCTTCTCAACTCTTCGGTGTTTATTTTGGATTGGTCAAAATATACTTTTGCTCCATGAGGTTTGTGTGAGGTGTCTATTTAGTCTCTGAAGTATCAAAATTGTTTTAAATGGTCTTTGAGCTTGTTTAACCATTAGTTGACTAATGGAAAGATGATGTGGCAGCTTTTATGTGATTTGACAATTTTGATAAATTTTATATTAATTTTGGTCTAGGTGACTATTTAATTTTTCCTGCCTCGCTTCTTTTCTCTCATATTCTACATTCCCCCTCTTCATTTTCTTCTCTTTTTCTCCCATTGCTGGTAATTTCTTAAGACATCTTCTGGTATCCCCAGAACCTCTCCCACCTCAGTTCCATACAACTAGTAGTTTAGGCTCCTCCATTCTTTGATTCTAATTCATTACGACTTAGGGGGGTTGAAAGTCTAGGGCTTCCATCATCTGCCGCAAACTTTGATAATGAAAAACACCAGAAATTTGAAGCTTACTCCATCGCTTCCATCTGAGAGATTGATTTTCAATCTCATTTAAGAATGGAAGGGCCTTGGCTCAGTGATTCCAGAATAGCCATTGATCCGAAGAACTATTTCCTTTTCCTTTATTAGGTTTCCATAGACATCGAAAAATCTTTAAGTTCCAGGGGCTGCACCCTGATTTTTTTCCTTGAAAAGAAAAACGTAATTTTGAAGCAAAAGATTAAATAAGGAAAAGGTCATTCAAAATCTTCCTTTTCTTCTTTTTTTCTTTTTTAATATCACAACCCACATCATCTGGAAAGGATTTATGACAATTGGATGGGATTTTGTCTTGTAACTCAAACATGTATAATTTGTCGCAGACAATCGGAACAGCAGGTATCTTTCTTGCCTGTAAGATTGAAGAGACACCACGGTTTCTGAATGATGTCGTCGTTGTGGCTTTTGAGTTGATATTCAAACGGGATCCTTCTGCCTCTAAAAGAATTAGACAAAAAGTACGTACTCTGCCTGTTATCTTCTTTAACAATTATGTTTAAGTGATTGATCACTCTGCATATTATAAAGGAAATAATCGGATGGCTGAATACAACATTATGCCTGTAGGAAGTTTTCAACAAACAAAAGGAATTAGTCTTGATTAGTGAGAGGCTTATATTGTCAACACTTGCATTTGATGTTGACATTCAGCTTCCCTACAAGCCACTTGTTGCTACTTTAAAAAAATTGGGAATGGCTGCGGATCTTGGGAAGGTGGCTTGGAATTTTGTAAATGATTGGTAAAGGACCTTCATCTTACTCATCATCAAGTTGCTGTTTACATCAATCTAGGATCATCTTTTAGAGATTAATGTCATCATCATGGAACTTGTAGGCTTTATACAACACTGTGCTTGGAGTACAAACCCCATTATATCGCTGCAGGTTCGATATTCCTTGCTTCCAAATTTCAAAAAGTAAAATTGCCTTCAAACGAGGGAAAGGCTTGGTGGATGGAGTTTGATGTTTCGCCAAAACAGTTACAAGGTTGCTAAACTTGATCTTTGTACTCATATTTGTTCTGTCTTGCTAGTTTTTGGCTTCAAATGAGCATGATATATATGATATCTCAGTAGTAAATCAATGTAAAAGAGTTGGTAATGATATATTTTTCACTAAATAAGGAAAGGGAATGGAAGTTATCTGTACCATTTTCCCCATTATATACATATGCCTCTTACCCCTCTATTTTACTGTTGCTACTTGAGAGCATTTACCAAATGTTCTTTGGAATTCCTTTCAGAGGTTATACACCAAATGTTGAAGTTATTCGAGAAAGATAGAAAACAAAGCCTACCACCTTCAAAAGAGAAGAATCATAAGCCAGAAGCTTTAGATGGACAGACAAGAGTTGATAGCTCCCAATCATGTATATCAAGCGTGACGATTTCTGATCATCTCGATAGTCACGAAGCTATTAGGGAGGCCAGTCACTGCAACAAGTCTGTAACGCCTAGTCGTTGCCACAATCAGCAAAATGTGAATTACCGCATTAGTCCTGTGGAAGTTTTACCCTGCCAAACAAGCGATACTGGGAGTTCAAGTAGTGCCATTGACAATGGTGATACTGGGATTTGTCAGAATACTGAAGAAAATTATCCTGATCAGATCAAACAGTCAAAAACTGTTCCTATTTCTATGTCTAAGGACTACAAAAAGATAAACTTATGTCAAATCAGAGAGGCAATAAAGAGAAGACGACTCTGTAGAACTACAAGCACAACGGAGGTACAGCCGATGAGCTCGGACGTTGACGGCGAAGCATGGATAGAAAAGGAGCTGGAACAGGGAATAGAGCTAGAATATGAATCCTCATTGAAGAAGAGACAAAAGACATCATGAAGTTGGGAATGCAATTCTACTTACTGATACAGCATCGTTTTTTTGTCAGAGCTTTTGATTGAATCCAAGAATTCTTCAAACTGTAAGTATTAAGAGGGCATTTTCAGCTGATTATTCATTCTTTTGATAGTTTTTTTCCCCCCATTCTCTTATGTAGTCTAATAACGTACCGATACATTTGTGTCACTCTCTCATTAATAGTAAGTGTACATTTTTACGTCGAAGTAAATTTATATCACAACTTTCTATTTGTTCTTCAGGAATGTTATGGAACCTTATCATAGGACCTTTGTACAATTTGCCTTTTGAGCTAGCTGTTGTCCTCACTTCTGTTTTCTTGCTACAGGATCAGATCCTAAATGTTAGGAAGGTATGTAATATTGTTTCAGTACCGACGGAGGGTTTTCTTGTAAGAGATTGACTGTATGTATTCATCTCTCACACTGTAATGACCTGTCATATTATACAGAGTCATAACGGTCGCTACTGAAACAAGGGTAAATAGGCTCTTCTAATGGTAGCCTGCTCCGGCCGACGTAATAAACTTTTGTTATTGGGTTAGCTATATGCTTTATATCTTTCTAGTGATTCAGGTGGGTTAGCTATATGTTTTACGTCTTTCTAGTGATTCAGGTGGCATCATCAAATGATGCTAGTCATAGATCTATCTATGACGCACTAGAACACCCTTGTTGATGATCTTTTACTCCGTGAGCTCTAGGGTCCATCGAACAATGTGATATCAAAATGTTTAAAATGGCCCAAAGGTGTCATCAATTGTGTTTGGAAATGCCCTTAGTTTTGTTAAGTAATTTACCTTTATGAGATAATAATCAATATTTTGATGTTTGTCCTTGTACTTAATCTTAGTACCTGAAAAAAAAATACTTAGATACTTCAATTTTAAATGGATATCAATTTAAGAAAGGTTGAATTGAAGAAACAAAAAGGAAACAAGGACAGAGTAGGAATCCTAGGAGTCAAATTTCACTTCAATTATCTAATAAATTGATGAAATCCATATAAACATGAAGGTAAGAATGGAAGGGAAAATGAGGTTATATCAGAAGCATGATATCGTCCTCAATCCCTCGATTTTATTTTCCCCCTACTATGTCCCTTGTTGTCTTTTGTCTTCTTGTCCTTTCCTTGAATGCCCAACTCCCCTTCAGAACGTAACATTATACTACACATGGCTCCCCCCTACAGTTTAGCCCTTCATCAAATCAGGGCTCCGATCATCTTGACGCGCTGAGGCATCACACTGCAGCCTGCAGTGTGCCCGCTACTATGCCAGTTACATCTCTTTTTAAAAAGCTTCTAGTTTCTTGGTTGATTTCCCTTCTTTTTCATACCTGCCAACAGAAGACGATCAAAATCAGAAGGCAACTAGCAAATTACGAGCTTGAATAATCTCCGAAATCGGATGGGATTGGAACGAGTTCACAGGTACAAAAGCGTTATGCATTATGAAATGTCGCTATGGTTGCAGAGCTGTGGCAGAGAGAGGAGGTTTAATCCCCCTTCGCTTTTGAGAGGGAGGATTAAGAAAATCCCAAAGCTTCTTCCCTACTAAACAAGGGGACTGGTTTTTAGAACATAAATAAAGGTTCAACAAATCCAATAATATCTCTTCATCCATAGAAATCAGGTCTGCAGCCCAACAATATTGTAAGACTTGATGGGAGAGGGCGTCCTCACGACGGATCCTCCATTGGCCAGAAAGCAAGGAGGGGAGGAAGCAGTGGAGGAAATTGTTAATGATCAGAAGGGAGCAGAGAATAAAGGTAAATGCAAGTGAATGCGAATTTTTTTAAAAAAAAAAACTTGAATATCATTAAATTGAAATGATGTCACTAAAAATTAGCTTCACTAATGAAAAATAACATCCAATGAGAATTCTCCCGTTCTTATATTTTGCCACACTAACTGATCCACTTTTATGAGATATTTCTTCCCCTTGAAGAAAATTCTTGACAGATTTTTTATTTTCATGCACGCAAATAAATACAAATAATGTCAAAGGATGCTAGAGAGTAACCTTTTCAATCGCTCATTTTTTAGGGATGGGTGCAGCCAAGAGCAGCCATTGTATTGGACCATGATACACACCACTTAAGCATGCCCCATAAATCCTTTATCTGAAGGTCCAGATATAGACATGGGCAACACAAACCCCGTATCTCCAGTATTCTGTAAACATAAATGATGATATTCAATTATATTACAGATATAAAGCAAGTATAATCTATCCGGAAAATGTATATATTTGCAATTTTGTGGTAATAATTTCAAACTTCTGTATACTGAATGCTAAGAAAATTTCCTAAAGGATGCATGCATGATAAATTACGGCAAGATGCCAGGTAAACAAGTAAATGTATGGAAAATATACATGTTAATCATAATCTGCATTGGGTGGCTCTAGTAGTAAAAGCATAGAATATTTAAAGTAACCTTCCCTGAGTTCAAGCCTCAAAGTATAAAACTTAATAATTTAATAAATCAAAATTCTCATTGTCACTTAGAACTAGCTTTGGGATGGGCAAAAGTCTATCTGAGGATTAGTAGGGTGAATCATGTGAGAGCAATAAACAAATAAAGTAAAGTAGTATATATAATTAGCCTGTAACTAAAATTCCAGAACAGGCGCTGTAATAATTATGGTAAGGAAAGCAAAGTATTGAACTTACCACATACATAAGTAAATCCTCAATGAGGAAATTGTTTCTTAATATTGGATCTACTTTCCAACCTTAGTCTCATATAATTTTGCATTTGAATATCACCTACTTTCCCTTTCTCTATTTTCCTGTAGAGACCCACTATCTTCTTATCCAGTTCATAATATTCTTCCATCTTCTTCATTGGTTTTAGATCCAAGTCAATGAAGTGTACCTGAAATATTGTAAGCAGGTAATTTTTCACCTCACAAATTGGACACCTTGAAGTGGAGAAAAATCAACTCAGGATACTGATAAATACTTCTTTTTGTATGCTTAGATTTGGACTGATTTGGTTTTCAAGCACACGGTGAATTGAAGTAAAGCTCATAACTGAAGCAAATGGCAAATATTTTACACAAACCCAAAGAGAAGCAGTAGCAAAAATATCATTGAAATGGAAAGATCCATATTGGTGAGCCCTGATAAATTTTATCATAAAAATGCCAAATAGTTATGTAACGCTTGCTTGATTTCAATGTTCATAACTATTTCTAAAAGCAGACTCTCTCTTTCCTCATTCATAAATATTTACTCTCGAGTGGCAAGGATATCAATTGGAAGAATTATAACATAAAATGCTTTCAAATAATCCTTTTGAAATAAACAGAATGAAAAGATGAATTACATGTACCTTATAATCAAAAAATTGCCCTGTTGATTCAAGGCGTATTGTGTTATTCGAAGAACCCCATTCTTTCCCTTCTCTTGGCCTAAAACTAATCATCAAGCTACAGTCTTTGGCAGTAGCAGCTATCAAAAAGTTTTTGACAATCTTTAAGCTTTGATCAAGAGGAAGGGAATGCAAAGAGGCATATCTATGCAATTCTTCATCTTCATTCAACTGTCCACAAACCACACAAGGCTCTGAAATTACATCATAATATGCATGAATAGCACCTTCTATGTCCAAACTGTCAAGCTTCTGGACTTCAAGAAGTCGATCCAGAACTCCAGATTTATATAAAGTTTCAGTGACAAGCTGTAGCAAGCTAGTAGTGCATAGCCCATCATCTGCCAGGATGACAGACTTCAGTGCATCTTCAAATGCTTCTCCAACAATCACGTCAGTATTCTCTGCAGAACCACCCAATGCCCCAAATATAAGAGAGCCATTATAGAACACTCGAAAGTTGTTTTGAGGCGTGGAAAAAAGATCCTTAATTGCTTTAAGTATACGATCCTTCGATCCAGAGAAGAGATCAAGTGGATCATAATCACTGAACTCTGATATCTACAAAATAAATAAATTGCAACAGTGATGGAAACTAAATTAGGAAATATAATAAATTAAGACAGCTAAATTCATTGAAACAATGAAGAAAGATCACCTCTTCTTGATGCAACTTAAGGGCTTGGTGCATTCTGAAACGAGTCATACACCTCTTAACCGCATTGCCATGGGTTATGAACCTTGAGAATGGGAGAAACCCACATTTTGGCTATTGGGGTAAGAAGAAAACAGAACAAAAAATTTTAAAAAGAGCCACTTTATCATTCATTTGGAGTAATGCTTGCAGAATTAAATTAATCAATGCTAAAAAGAAAAAATAAAAATAAATACCATAGAAGTGAGAAGTACCTTTATCTCGACAGATATGCAAGGCTCACCTTCTAAAGCACCTGAAATAGAAAACGTAAGCAATTCCATCACCAAAATGAAATAATGAAAAAAAGTGGAAAACAAAAGGGGAAAATTAACAAGGACGTCATTATCTGCCTGATATCATGGCTGCAAGTAAGGCCAGTCAATTGGTAAGGTAGCATTCCATTTCGAAAGGAAATCAAGAGCGGGAAACATAGTATATTTGAGTGTTATTCCTTTTCTAAAACCATTGGCTTATATTTTTCAAGAGCATACAGAAGACGGAGACAATCTAATCAGCAAACTCATATGCAGCACAGCAATTGACCATTCATCAAGATCATATATGGAAAAGTTTTCATGAATACCTAAACATCCATAATAAACTATAAAATAAATCAGAAGGTGCACGTTTTTTATTTTCTTATGAAGAAAAGAGAGAAATCGGAACACCACAATGCATCAACACTGAGAAAACAGGGAATTAGGACAGCTTTGTCACTCCAAAATGGGCACTCCTACATCATGAGTACTTAGACAGATTTAAATCATGCACATAAAAAGCTCCAAGAAGTTACTATAATGTGTAACCTACTAGGAAACCATGTATGAATAATGTGCAAAAGCTACTATCAGCCCCTTGGTTCATTCCTTGGGAATAAAATAACAGAAAACAAATAAGCAATGCCTTACTTAAACAAGATATGTTCTATAGGATGATGTAGACAACTTTTTCACCTTAACTGGACCAATGACTAATCGGACAGAGTATACAGGCAGGTTGTCCTCTTCGTTATAAGAAAATGCAACGGTACATTGGTATTTAATAGAACATTGTAGAAAATGTAATATTACCGTGAGGGAAAATGGAATGATCAGATATAATAAGAACATAATCACGATGGGTATCAATCTTTCCAGCATCTACCCTCCAAGATGGGCGTTCACTATTTACATTCTTCTCTGCAAACTCTAGAAATTCTCTGGTTACTAAGACAAGTTTCTGCGAGTGTAAAGATATACCACGCTCAGAAATTTGTATTCAGTTTTGCAACACTTTTAATGGTAGAATTCTATGAAAAGAAAAAGTATACAATCAGCTGTATTTCTGAAATATATCAATCCACTTAAAGAGCAAAGGAAAAACATACACCAGAATCAACGTGTTTGGAACCCAATAAAGGGCTCATTACACGCTGCACAAAGGTTTGGGCAGCAGTGTCCCTATCAGCGGATGAGACAAGGTTCCCTATGTCACCCCACAACAAGTATTCGTATTTGGAAAATGCGGTCGGAGTCCTCGCATGCTGTGATCCATTGATAGAAGCCTTTTGTATACGCATAACTTTTCCAATCTATATCAAGAAGAATAGTTAGTCCCCAAAAAAGTTTAAATCCCCAAAGTAATGCTCTCTCTTTTGTAGGTTGAATTCAAACCATCCCTTCATTTAGATTATCATCTGTTATATACGCAAAGAAAAGGAAATTGTCAAGAATTTCCTGGCTATCCAATGCCCCATTTCCCAGTCACAAACTTGCAACTACAGATAAGTATCTGTAACAACGTAGAAACTGCCAAATTCATCCTAATGACAATCGTGTTTTTTTATCTATATGTAATAAGAGAAAGGAGCGACAGGTTCAACATACAAAAGCTGGAGAGGAGCCAGTATATGCAAGAACAAGATTAGCGGCTCCTTCGCCTCTATAAACCCAATCCGCAGCATCCTTCTCTTTTAGTACAATCTCCATCCCAAGCGTTCGTCCTCTGAGATTCGTTTCAATCGTTCAACCACAGAAATGGCAAAATATATAGAAGAAGGCAGCAAACATCATAACGATTAATCATCAGAGATTCAAGTACCTGATCTGAAAATCGCATATAGGCCGTAGCTATCCGGTGATATAAACCCTAGATCTTCTGAGGAAACCCACATTCCACAATGCAGCAACGATCGAATCGAAGAATGAAACAGAAAAAAAAACCCGCGAGAAGAAGGTGAGAACTCAGTAATATGAGAAGGAATAGAAGCAGAGGAAAGGGAGTTGATAGTGGAATTAGGGATTTGGGGACGACAATCAGCTCAACAGGACGTGTCGAGCAAATGCAGCGGTTCAGATCTGAAAGAGGGAAAAGGCAATTTTTGGTATTATGGATGGAATGTTTTGTTCTATGCAATATGGTCGGGGGTTTTGGGGAGTTTTATCATTTAAAAAAAACAATTATTATATATATATATATTTTTAAATAATATATATTAAAATATTTATTTCATTTTTCATTTTTCAATTTAATATTTTTACCCTAAAATAATAATATCAATAAGAAAATTTGGGACAAAAAAATAATAGTTTACTCACAAATGTGAATAAATCATTAACTATTACCGATTTGACAGCTCTCTGAAATTTATTTTCTTTGCAATTAAATCCAAAAAGCTTAATCTATGATTACTTTTTAAATTTCATAATATTCGATATCACCCAGATATTAAAATTTAAAGAATTAATTGTCATACTATACGTATATTTAAATTAAAGTTTGATTTTTTTAAAATGAGTAAAACATTTAATAAAAATGAAATTTTAAAATAAGTGATAGTATTGGACACGTGAATTGAGGGTTAAGAAATTTTGAGATATTTTTTAAAAATTTTATGGATCAAGAATAATGGTCAATTTTAAAAATAAAAACATCCTTGTATGATAGCAAACCGATTGTTGCAGGTTTTGAAATCCACCAAATTGGAGTGTTCCTGTCCCTTGAGATGCCATAAATAGTATCAATAACATCATAAAACTTCACTACTGCTACGCCATCAAAAAGCTGCTAAAAATTTACATGCTAGTCACGCTCGGCATCTTCTATCTCTTCATCCTCCGGTACTCCGCGAAGGTAAAGAACGTTGTTACACCTGTCACGAAAAAGTAGGAACATTGCCATGTTCGATATGAGAATCTGTGCAAGAATTCATCGATAAGCACAAATAACTTACTAACATATCCTTAATAGTCCTCGTAGAAAGAAAAATGCATGCGTACGACCTTATTCTACATGTTGTCTGTTACATTTTCTCGCTCGAGTCATTTATGTCATAAACAGCCATTCATATTATGATAAAAACAAGTATACTAAATTGTAAAAGATAACCAAAGTTACGAGGCATTTGGAACATCTCTCCTCGGCATACTCATTCTCAAGGCTAAATCCGTTCCCCTTTCAAACACCCAACTGGTTGTGCTTTGATGACCTTGTGCGGAAAGCAGTGGCATGTAGAGGAGATATCACAGGCAACAATCGGCAGTGTTGGGAATAGAAATAAGGATGTGCGACAACGCAGGTGAAAAGAGAGCATGTGGACCTATGGCTCCTAGGGTTTTCCTTTTAGTAGTGGGTCAGTTCTTGAGTTCAAATATAGAAGTTAACACACCCCAAAATTCAACTTGTATAGCATGAGCCTTATTTTTGTAGTTACGAAGAAATGGACCTTTTTTTTCTTCTAACAATTCGCGTGACTAGACAACTTCATATCCACGAATACATCTTGACGAAATTTGTGTTGATGCCTTCTCCACGACCCCATCTCCATCAACAGCTCCTGCATTTTCCACCAGCATTGGCCTCTCTTGCACGACTTTTGTTATTTCTATTTTTTGCACAGCAGTTCCTCTCTGATCCCTCAAACACCTCTCTTCATGATGATTGCGTTAGCGCCTCCCCAAGCGTTTATCTCTGGCCATAGAAGTAGCAATTGCTGACAATCTCTCCAGAAATCCTTCCTTTCTTAACTTGAATGCCTTCCCAACCCACTCAAAGGTTTTCAAACATCAAACTAATCTCCAGCCATAGAAATAGCAATTGTTTATTGGTTAACCTCCCCTCGATCTAAACCATACATTAAGTGTTTTTTGGTAGGCGTATTTTTGGTTCCTTCTACAGCTCTTTTGCACACTCCCCTTTGCTTCCATACAAGCTCCATTAATCCTTAATCCATTCTTACTTTTTTCTTCATCGACTTCTCATTCTCACTCTTGTTCCTCATGTGAGGATTCTGAGGTTTGTTCCATGTTTTTGTGGCCGTCTCACTCTCTTCATCATCAACCTTTTTTGTATCCTTGCGAGATGAGAAATCTGATTCCAATATGAATGTCTACCTCTTTGTTTTTGCCCATCTGATCTCTTTTCTTATTTCTATAATCTCCGCTTTCATTTCACTAAAATTCTGTGCCACTCTATCTCGAAAAGATTGGAACATTGAATCCATTACCTCTGCCAATTACTTCAGGGAACGATTCTCTTCACATAAAAACATCAACATCTGTTCACATAAATTTTCATCTGACCCCATGGCCATTATCGAATTTCTCTGGAGTAGATTTGATATAACCAAATATACTGAAATATAAAACATAACAGAACACCAAGATAACAAAATATTTGAGGTACTTGGAACCTTCCCTCTCGTGACTATACTCACTGAAGCCTAAACCACTAAAAAATTCTCTACTCTCCTTTCCATCCCATACTATTTATATCGAATCACCACAACTTCTCTATTCAATCACTAATATACACTTATTAGTCTAATGATATTTCAAACAACACTCCAATCACATTACAATCAACAAATAAGCATTGATGCACTAGATATTGTGATTTCCAATCACAAAAAAAAGGTTACCTGATCAATATTTCTCCCAAACTCCCAGTACATTGTCCGTCGATATATTCCTCAGTATTGGCAAGCTGCATTTAAAAAGTTGTAACTTAATTTCCCTTTCGAGAATATTAAATCAAATGTGGGAGTGAGGAGTGAAACCAACGACCTCTTAAACGAAGTAGAGATGCCTAAACCACTTGACTATGTATACCAGTTTCGACATGCACAATAAATAATAAAATTTACAAATTATTCCAAAGCATTTCTTACAAAAAATTATGAAAACAAAAATGGCCAACGCTGTTTTCAAACTAGTTTTCCAGAGAAAGCCAATGATAAATAGTTGTAAGGGGGAACTTTCAATATGAGCAGAACACATCAAGTTAGATTCAGAGATGAACGGCATTGAAACAGTTAGTGCAACGTTTGAACAATGTTTCAAGTAAAAAGACGATTAGACTAAGTTCCCTTCTCATATCGAGTAAATTCACTACAGTCAAAATAGTATACGGACTCTTGGTAAACAAAGCTCCGCAGCAGAGGGAGACATAAAAACAACGAGAATATGATCGTAATCGAAAAGAACTAACTAAATTAATGTCAATGCAAGTAGAAACACACCTGTAAGTTCATGTACGAGTCCACCGAGACAAGAAAGCCTGAAATGTAAACGAAAGTGAGTACAAACATCAGCAGGCAAGAGAAACGAGGAAAACAAGCAGCAGATAGAACCAAACCTTTGTACTCCATCCCCCACTTGAGTTTCACAACCACAGTCTTTCCAGTCAAATTGTTCAAAAACGGCTTCGGGTTAACTGGGATGCTCTACAACGTCCAAACAATCATATCATAGAATTAAGCGTCATTTACGAATCAAGGCAAAATGGAGGAAAAAATAAATAAACGGCCAAGAATCTACATAACAGAAGAATCAGTAAAATAAATCGAAAACTTCAGCCAACTATCTGATACAACATACGGCTACATTAACACTCATTCCACATCGAATCGAAGGGGAAAAAAAGGGTAAAAAGAACAACGAAAACATTATACAGAACCGAAAAGCAAGGAAAAAAGAAAATTCTTAGTTACCATGGTTCCGAAATGGCGAGCAAGGGCTTGTTTGAAATCTGTGGAGCTCAAAAGAACAAGGAGTCGAAGAAAATGGCGCTCTCGCTCTAGGGCTTGTTTTCCCTCCTTTTTCGTCGTTGAATATGTGTGAGCTTTCGGCGACTGGGCGAATTGGACAATATGGGCCGGATAATGAATTTCTGGCCCATAAAATGGAAACCCATGGGCTCCATACCCAATAGTTCCATTTTGTCGTCATTTAATTTTATCTCTAATATTTAATTATCCATTTCGAATTTACAATTTCCTATATATTTTCATTTAAGCCAATTATTTTATATCTATGATAAATATTATTTTCAAAAACATATTACTCTAATTATTATGCATTATATTTTATAATCATTAAACAATAATGATTTTTAAAAATAATTTTATTTTTATCATCCCCATTAAACGGTAACAATAACCGACTAACTCCACCACTATAAGATATTGACAAGTGACCACCTCTAATCCCAGTAAGGCTAGACCCTATCTATAGTAGACATGTTTTAAAACCTTCAGATAAAACTCAAAGAGGAGAATATCTACTAGGGCTTAGATGGTTACAAATGGTATCATAGTCAGATATTGGACAGTGTGTCAGCACCCAAGGGGTGGACTGTGATATCCCACATTGGTATGAGAGAATAACAAAACGTTTCTTACAAGGACGTGGAAACCTCTCACCAGTAGATGTGTTTTAAAACCTTTATGGAAAGTTAAAAGAAAATGCATAAGAAGAACAATATCTGTTAGCAGTGGGCTTAGACGGTTACATAAATAAATTTATTTTTTTATATATTGATGAGTCACGTGATTAAGTCAGCAATCTTTGAGACATTAAGTAATGTCTGTATCCACTAAGTTATGCTCGAACTAGCAATGTCATACCACTCATATTGTTACCGTGTGGATCTATTTTGATTTATATACTTCAACTATTTGGTTAAAATAATGAATTTTTTTATTTAAAAAAAAACCAAATTAAAAAAAAAAAAAAAAAAAGTTAGAAATGAAGTGTTATTTAAGTTTTAAATAGGAAAAAGTAATTTCAAAATAAAAAAAATAAAAAACGAGTAAAGTCACCACAAGTGAGGAAACCCATCGCCAAATATTGCCTTGGAGAAGACGAAAACCCCTAAATCCTCCATTAATACGACCTCAATCCTCTCCCTTTGTGCACACCAGGGATCGTGATTGTGGCTCTGTGAAACTCTTGAATTGTTTTTATTTTTGTTTCAGCAACAATGTTTAGGAATCAGTACGATACGGACGTGACGACATGGAGTCCGGCGGGGAGGTTGTTTCAGGTGGAGTACGCGATGGAGGCCGTGAAGCAAGGCTCCGCTGCCATTGGCCTCCGATCCAAGACCCATGTGGTTCTTGCCTGCGTCAATAAGGCTAACTCTGAACTATCCTCGCACCAGAAGAAGATCTTCAAAGTCGACGATCACATCGGCGTCGCCATTTCCGGCCTTACTGCTGATGGACGCGTTCTTTCCCGTTATATGAGATCTGAGTGTATCAATTACAGTTACACTTACGAATCTCCGCTTCCCGTTGGTCGTCTCGTAGTTCAACTTGCCGATAAGGCTCAGGTTTGTAAACGAAGCCCTCGTTCTGTTCACAATTTGTTGGTGCTTGTAGTTTCTTAGGTATTTCTTGTATTTTAGCTATCTATGCTGTGGGTTTGAATTTATTTGGCCAGTGGCGGGCTTGGTTCTGAAATTACGCATTACCATAGCTGGATATTTAAAGGTGAAACATTTCAGATTATTAAGTTCTCTAAGCTGAGGGGATAGAATGTGAATCTTTTATTAGCCAGAAACTGAAGTTAATGAACATTTAGGAAATGGCAGAAGGTTGCCTATGTATCCTCTAATGATCAGCACTTTGAGTGCTTAATGGCAGCTAAAGATTATGGGCTTTCTGCTTGCTTATCTTATGCTGTTAGTATTCGTTCCACTGATTCTTAACCCTGCAGTAGTAGAAACAAACTAGGACTTCAAGCTCTCCAATTGTTGAATTAGTTTGAACCCACCTAGCCTTGCTGGTAATTTGTTCTTTCTAATTTTTTGTATTTTGTTGTTCAATAGTTTAGACTTTAGTAGAAGCCAGGAAGTTGAGTAATTATTTAGGGTCACAATGTATCTACCACTTTTTATGACCATTAGATGTATGAAAAATTAGATTCGTTTAACTATGTCGCTATCTGGTGGTCATGGGGGATGGCATAGCTCCCAATAATTTCTTCTGGAATGGTTTCCTAGGAACGTTTTGTTTCATGTTTCTCAATAAAAGTTCGGGTTCTTACCATAAAAAAGGAAAAAAGAAAAAAAGTGGAGTGATGAATTCCTGGAATTGGGTTTAATTTATTAGTATGTGACAGGGCACTGAGAGATAGCATGAGGACGTGCCATTCTCTGCTAAGTTCTTTAATTCCGTTTCAATGTGGTTGTTGTGTTGGTGTTGGTGTTGATTTAAATAGATCCTTTATAGGGTTAGATTCTGCTTTCAAGTTCTTTGATTTGCCTAATCATTTTGATATCTCAATTCCTTTTTACTGCCCTTCTCCTAGCTTTGCTTGAAATTTGGGGAATAAAATGTTGGTACTCGGAATGCGATACTCATATAGTAGTGTAGATGAAGAAACAATCTTGGTAACCTGGCTTATTGCATTTATCCCACTTTTTTTTTTGTTTTTTTTTTTTTGTTAGAGATCTTGTATTCACAACAAAAATAAAGACAAAAAAACCTGGAGTCCAGAGTTAGAGAAAATGGCATCCACCGCCAACTAGCTAATACATGAAGACCTTACAAACTAGGGTGATCTGAAATACTATGTGGTTATGCTATAGAACAAATTTTGTGGGAAGGGCACTTTAATGAGAGACTGTATGAAGAACAAAATCGATGTACTTATGTAAGCATTTCTAACCAAACGCGTCGTGAAAGATGATCTGGTTTCTTTCTAACCAAATGAGCCATAGATAAGCTCTAATGGCAAACTTCCAAACGTCTCTATCTTTTCATTTCAGCCACCAGCCTGAACGAGCTTTCAGGAGCTTATCTTCATGCATTTATCCCCTCTTTAACCTCTACTTTTTTTTTTCCGCTGTAAAATAGGTTTACGTCAACCGATATGGGTAAAAGGGGAGTGGACTGCTATTTTGTTGTACGTGTACCCTTTTGTTTCTCCATAAATCATGGTGAATTCCTTCCCACGAGAATATATTCAAGTGTGTAGGACGTAGCTTATGGCTTTGGACCAGATGTAGTTGTTAATTGTTATCAATCCTTTGCTGGTTCTTGCTGGTTCTTTATTGAGGGTGTATTCTCTCTGAACTGTTCTGTTATATGTATGTTCAGGGCTCCAAGCATGGTTATTTTTACAGGGAATACCAGTTCTCATGTCCAGAAACTTAGGTTTCTCTAATTATCTTGCACATTTGTTGCAGGTCTGCACCCAACGCTCATGGAAACGTCCATACGGTGTTGGTCTGCTGGTAGGTGGTCTGGATGAGTCTGGCGCTCATCTCTACTACAACTGCCCGAGCGGGAATTACTTTGAATATCAAGCTTTTGCCATAGGATCCCGTTCTCAGGCTGCAAAGACATACTTGGAAAGGAGGTTTGAGAACTTCAAGGACTCTTCTAGAGACGACTTAATCAAAGATGCACTGATGGCTACCAGAGAAACCTTGCAAGGAGAAAAACTAACTTCCTCCATATGCACGATTTCCATTTTGGGAGTTGGTGAACCTTTCCATATACTGGATAGGGAAACTGTTCAGAAGTTGATTGATGAATTTGAGATTGTTAAGGAGGATGATGTTCCTGCTGCGGATCAGGATGTCGCCCCGGAGCAGGGTGATTCTGCTGCCCCCGAACCAGCTGCTGCAGGGACAGACCAAGGTAGTGCCCCAGATCAAGGCGTGGCGCCAATGGATATCTAAGGGCACACACCGTGCAGACGTTGCCTCTCCCTTCCCCACTTCCTGGGTATTGCTGTTAGGTTTGGATCTTTAGTGCAGACATTTCGATACTTCTCTATTGTGGCCTCAGATTTCGATTTTACATTTATGAAAGTTGTATCAGACCGTTTAAAATGCGTTATCACAACTGATTATGTTTTTCTATTATATTATTGTGAGAAGAACATTAAGCTGATCCACAATGGTCCTTAGACACTTGGAATCAAGCTAGTTAATATTGAATTGTATGAAGGGGAGAATCTTCAGAAAGAAGATGAATGGATTCTTTCCATATGTGAAGAGGATATATGACAGATCTTGATGCATTGCAAAGTTCGCTCGAAGTTTTATGGATCCGAGCCTAAGTACAACAAGTGAAGTACAAAGACGCTTAGTTTGACGTTAGGACTTCTTATATTGACGGTCCCTTTTTAAACATGCATGCACATACGCACTAGAGACCACAGAGGAGCTTGAAAGTAGATGAAATCACATTAATGAAAAACAACTTTTTACATCTTGTTTATGGAGAGACATAAAGCCTAAGATTATCAAACAGGTCCAGCTAACTTCAAATAACTTGAAAGAGATGATGGAGGCAACAATGACATGAGAGAAATGATTGATCATTGAGGGATCTCAGGGAGCGGAAGCCCTTTGATCTGCAAATGCTTGTGCATCCATTGCCTGTTTTCTGGGGTAACCTCACCCCCAAGGGCACGGATGACAGAACCGCCGCTGCATGATCCCAATTGACAGCATTTCACAAGAGATAATCCCTTCACTAATCCGTATAGAAACCCGCTCGCAAACAAGTCGCCTGCTCCGGTCGCATCGGTCGCCTTTGACTCCCCTATCGCTGGAATTCGGACAACCTGATATGTTGAGGGGAGTTATGTAACTTCATTACTAATGACCCACACATGGAAATATTGTATCAGAATTCAGAACACTTGGTTCCACTCTATGGTCTCTTGAATTTGTGTATTGCTTTGGACAAACTAAACATTTCCTAGATGCAACGAGAAACTTCCATGTCCTATTGAAATGAATGAAAGAATACAAAGGACATAAAAAAGACAAACCCCCAAAAGAAGCCAAGCTAAAGACAAGGGGTCCAATCAAGTAAGATCAACCTTAACCGACAAAAGTCCTTGCACACCAAAAAGGCCAAAGGGAGAATATGGAACCTTAACATGGGATGAAACATTAACCGCTCAAGCTCACTGCTAGCAGATATTGTCTTCTCAGGACTTTCCCCTATGGGCTTCCCCTCAAGATTTTAAAACGCGTCTTTCAAAGTTATAGAGCGAACCGATACTCATCCAGATAATATATCTGCTAGTGGTGGACTTGAGTTGTTACAAATAGTATCAAAGCCAGATACCGAGTGGTGTGCCAACGAGGACGTTGCGCCCCCAAGGGGTGGATTGTGAAATCCCACCTCGGTTGGAGAGGAGAATTAAAATCTCTCCCTAATAAACGCGTGAGGTTGACGGTGATACATAACGGGCCAAAACGAACAATATATGCTAGCAGTGGGCTTGGAAACTCTCTACCAAGACCACTCCCCACACCTTTAAACACTTTATTACTCCTCTCCCTAGAGACTCCAAAGCAAAGCACGAGTGCTAGTTATCCACAAAAAAGAGACTCATTTTACCAACGATCCATGCGTAAGCTTGAAACATTGTGTTCATGAGAAAGAAACTAGAAGATATTCTAATGTTTGAATCGTCACATGTTGCCAATAAGAGGAAAAATCAATCACTAACCTCTTTTCCATGCTTAGCGATACAACCATTGGCACCTAATGTCACCACTGCCCATTGACAGTGCTTTGCAAGAAATTCTAGTGCAACTTCAGGATCAGCGTCTTTCTCACCCCTGTAAAGATGACAGATGTTAATACCATCAACTAGAAAATGTTCTGCCACAGAACCGAAATATCCAACAGCTGAAGTAGTGCAGATATCAAATTAACAATCAGTCGAGTTCGAAGAATAACGAGCTTAAAAGGAACGACCATCACCCTATCAACTCCTTTGCTTCGTCCTCATTGGCAAAGCAAAGGTCGATATCCCCGGACTCCAATAGCTTGAGAAGAGGCAATCGAAAATTCCGAACCATCTGGCCAAATATAGAGATGTGAGCTACTTTGTTCAACATTTCTTTTAAAACGGCATAACAAAGTTGTCTATTTCTATACCTCAAAACTGGCCAAATCCAAGGATACTAAAACTCTCTCTTGTTTGGCCATCTTTACAGCTGCTTGAATAACTTCTAAGCTAAATATACTATATCTCATTACAAGCCACTGCAATAAAGACATGGAAATAATTAAGTCTACCAAAAGCCTCTACCTCTTATGTTAAAAGAAAATAAAGATGGGAGTATCCTGACCTTAGAGCCCTTAAAGTCATCTCTACTCAGTTCATTGCCCTGAAAGATCACAAAACAAATAGATAATCAGCATATTTAGTAACCAAAGCTCATCTGTTTAACATACAAAAGTACTAAACTGATCAATTTATTCAACAAACCAACACAAACTCTATAACAAACTCTATAACAGCCCAAACACACCGCTAGCAAATATTGTCCTTTGTTAAAAATGGTATCAGAGCTAGATACCGGGCAGTGTGCTAGCGAAGATGGTAGGCCTCCAAGGAGGGTTGATTGTGAGATCCCACATTGGTTGGAGAGGGGAATGAAGCATTCCTTGTAAGGGTGTGGAAACCTCTTCTTAATAGAGGGCCCTTGAAAGGAAAGCCCAAAGAGACAATATTTGCTAACCGGTGTGCTTGGCTGTTACGAACTCCCAACTGAGAAGGTAATATACCTGAACTTTGACTGCACTTGAGAGACAGGGTCGCATTGTGCGGTTGCCCAATGAATCAACCAGGCAGACACACTGCCGGACAATTTACAATACATTCTCAGAACTTTAAAACACATAAACACAGAATGCAAATTTGGACACCCCACTATGAAGGGAGTGAAGCAGACCTGAGCTGTGGGACCTTTGATCATCCTCAATCTTGAGAGATTGACCCCATTGGAGCCCATGTTACTGACGAACAATTTTCCTTGCTCATCATCCCCATAGGCGCCAATGATTCCACAGCTGACTCCAAACCCCGCACTCAATCCTCGAATTGTGTTAGCAACACTTCCCCCAGCTATTGTCTTGACCGGCGTCAGATCATCAGGCGAGGAACGTATATAGGATTTCACCTCACTCAGAATATTCTCAAGCTCTTCCATACCAACCTGAAAATAAACTCAAAACAGACGAAATTCAGCACTTGGATACGAATAAAATGGTGAAAAAAGAAACATAAACTAAATTCTCCTCCCCACATGCTCGATTAAAGAAAACAAAAACAGAGCATTGCACAAAAACAACAAGAATTCAGCTCCTAAAAGTAGAAAAAAAACAAAATCCACAGCACCGTAAGAAATCCGACTGTATTGGACAGTAAAAAGACAGTTCCAAAACCACACAGAACAGAACACATAATCAAAGAGAGATTCAAACATTAGAAGAAACAAAAACGTCGTCAGAAGCAGAACCACCCGCTTAATCAAAGATGAATCAACAACACAGAAATTAGTCAATACAATTCTGATCTTAAAAACACAACGAAATCCAAAACAGAACACAACAAACACAATTGAGCGAGTAGAGTAAAAAGGCGAAAGAAAGAAGGATGTTTACCGGCATTGAGCCACCGCGGTCGCCGGGAATTCGATCAAGAAGAGAGGAATCGACACGAGCAACATGGTCGATAAGGGCAGCAGGTTGAAGACCAAGAATAAGAGGGGCAGCTTCAGAGTCATTGGCAGTGTGAAGCAAAGGCTCGGCTCCCATCTTGGTGGCTTAAGGTCCTGCTTTCTCTGCCCTCCTTTATATAGGACTCCGAGGGGACTCCGAGGGCTACGGAATCTCTGAGCCAGAAAGTGAACCCAACTTAAATTACGACTCTCTTATGCCCATTTTGGGAATTTTTGGAATTTAGAGTAATTTGTGGAAAATTAAAATAAATAAATAAAAGATAAATAATTTAGAGTATATTTAACATAACTTATTTTTCAAGGATAAAATCTGTATATTTTTTAAAAAATAAATAATAAAAAATACTTTAGAATTAATTTTTAAATTACTTATTTAGTATTTTTTTTAAAGTTATTATTTTAAAATTTGTATAATCTATCCATTTATTTTAAAATAGTGAAATTAAAACATCCGAGACATTAGGGATAAATTTAAAATAAAAAGAATTTTAAAGACCATGTGATTTATTATTTATTATTATTATTATTATTATAAGAAACCAAATAAATATATAAACCCAAAATATGATATTTATATTATTATTTGAAAGAATCTGGGCCGGCCGTATAGCGCCACTTGTCACTGGATTTTTATATTATTATTTATCCGGCGGATAAATCATAACGCTTTGTGGGCCCATTCAAATTTTTAAGAAATAAATATTATATTTATTCAATTTGTGGGAAGATTCTTCGTTTAATTAATTTTTAACTTTTAAATTTTATTATCTAAAATGTAATTAAAAGTTTTTTTATTACAGAAGAATCTATTCGTCAAAAATCCAAAAGTTCAAGATTTGTAAAATAATTTTTAAATTTTAACAATTATGTAATTTATGAATTTTATAAAAAAAGTTACAAAAATTAAATCCTATTTTATTAATTATTGTTTAATGTTTAATCTATATTACGAATTTTATCTCCATTCTCATTTAAAAAATGAAATAACAATTAAATTTTAACATTTATATTCTTTCAAATTACAATATTATGTAACTTTATTAAAATTTTGGATAGAAATTATTATCTAAAACAAATACGGCAGTGATTTAAAAATGTTTGTATCTTAGTTTGTGTTTAAGATTATTGTCACGTCATTTCATAATATCTCAATTTTAGTCCGTTCAATATTTTAAAAGATAATTTTGAAACGCTTTGGTGCTGCTTTCGGCAAAAGGCATGGCTGCGTCTTCTTCTCCATCAGTTCCACATGGAAATGATTGTGCTTCCACTTTCAATGATTTTGTGAAACCTTCGGCTATAATGTGTGCAACAATGGCGGATCAAAGAAATGGATTCCCCTAAATGTTCCTTTTTCTTTGTTTATTTCTCACACATTTGGGCTCCTCAAATCACGCCCATAACATACAAAACATTTG